GAAGGAGGAGGTGGAGGAGATTGGATTTATACCCTGCCCTTCACTCAGTCTCAGAGCAGCTTACAAACTCGTCGCCCTTCCCTTCCCCACAGCAGACACCCGGCTTGGAAAAGGGGGTGGGGGCGAGGAGAAAGTGGCAGCGCTCTGCCTCTGCTCCTTCTGTGAAAGCCTCCTTTGCGGGGGGGGGGAGAGGAATAGATGTGCGGGAAGAGGGGGGAAGCGGCTCATGAACTGCAAGGGCTCTCACCGGAATGCGGGGCTGGCCAGTCGACTGTGGTGGCGGATCAGGCTGGGGAGGAGGGGGAGAGGGAGCGGAAAGGGGGTGCGTGCGCCTGCCTGGCGGCTGGTCTTGCTCCCAAAAGGGGGGGGGGTGTTTTGAAAAACCAGGTGTCTCCTAAGGGCAGCACTGAGGTTTTCCCTGACTGCTGAAGCTGCCGCCGGCTAAGAAATCCTAGCCGGGCACCCAGAGCATCTGCCCCTTCCATGTTGTAGAAGAGCGTGGGAGAGGCAAGGGGAACGACTTAGAACAGAAAACCTGTCTTCTTCCAGCTCAGCTGGGATCGAATTCGCCCAGCCCGGCTGGCCGGACAGCACGAGGAGGACAGGGCGATGGGCGCCCGGGCCGGGGGTGCCTCTGTGCCAGACGAGGGCTCTTTGGGGAGGGCGCGGGGCGCTTCGCGAGCCGGGCGGCGTCCAGAGAGTAACGTCGGCTCTTCCCACTTCCCGCCCCGCAGAGCGGCGGCGCCTTTCCTGCCCCTGTCGCACAGAATGTTTGCTCACAAGGGGGTGGGGCTTCCCCCGCCGGCCATCTGGCCGGCGGCGGGTAGAACCCCTCCCAAAACGGGGGACCCCTGGCAAACCGGGGGGGTTGGCAACCCTAATTTACCATTGTTTTCTTTTTAATGTAATGCTGTGCTGTATGGTTGCCAGTTTGATCAGTGCAGTAGTAAGGAAGGAAATATTTAACCCTTTCCTCCTTCTCCATTTTCCTGATGAAAATTGTCTTCTCCCAACTGTCAGGTCGCTTCATAGGAGGGGCAAATACA